CACGCGTCGGTCCCCATTAGGTTGTGTATTTGTCGGACGGGCTTTCGGCGAAAGTACCCTTCTTAAAGAGGGTAAATTCAAGGTGAACAAACCTCGTTACAAAGGATACCATTGTGTGTGTATAGGGTGAGGGGGTAGGGGGTATTTGTGTGTGTGTCTGTGGGTGTTTGTGTTTGTATTGGTGCTTGTGTTTTGTTTGCTTGCTTGCTTGCTTGCTTGTTAGTTCCTTTTTGTGCTTTGTGGTATGGTGTTCGTGTGTTTATATTTGTGTGGTAATGTGGTTACCCTATGAATGTGTATGTATTTAAGGTTTGGCGTAAAATTGTCTGTTAAATTGGTGTTGCATACGTTGCGTATTTGTGTCATTGTGTATGTTTGTATGTGCGTAATGTGCGTCCTCCGTGTATATGTATCTTGTTTGCGGTGCGCATCTGTATGTTATCCATGTCCATCTGTGTTTAGTGTATCCGTGTAATCTGTGTGTATTGGTGTTCCGTTTGCATCTGTGTACGCGTATGTGTTTGTATCCATGTACACCTGTATGAACGCGTGTGTATATGTATCCATGTGCACCTGTGTCCGCGATTATGTATATGTATCCATGTACAACTGCGTACGCGTATTTATGGGTATCCATGTACATGTGTGTGTGTGTGCGTGTGTGTGTGTGTACTTGTGTGTGTTTGTACGTGTGTGTGTATGTGTGTGTGTACGTGTGTGTATGTACTAATGTGCATTCAGGATCGCCCTTCTGGGGATTCCCGGTAGGCGTTTGGCATGGCGGGCGGGACTGTGGAACGGGTTGGGGAGGGTTTAAAGATTGACCGGAGTGCGGGGGTGGGGTGGGTACGAAGACCTGGGCTCTTAGTGGGTCGTCTCATGTGGGATTTGCGTTTGGTTTGTTTGTTTGCTGTGTTGTTATCAGCTCATCATTCTTTTATCTTCAGCTCTTTGTTTTGTCCGATTTCCTCTCATTCTTTTCCTTTCTATGTATATTATTTATCTCCTTCGTTCCTTTTCCCCCTGTACTCCTGCACATCTCTTCCTCGTCCTCTCCGCCTTCATCTCCATCTTCTGGTCAGTGCAGTTCTGCCTCCCATTTTCACTTTCATCACCATCTCCACCTCCGCCTCCACCCTCTAAACGTTTACCTTCCACTCACTTCCTCCGCCTCCTCCTCCTCTTCCTTCCTCTTCCTTCTCTTCCTCCTTCCGCTCCTCTTCCCGTCTCCTTCCTCACTCCTCCCTCCTCCTCGTTCCTTCTCCACCCACCACCACCCACCTCATCCTCTTTCCACTACCGCCACCAACCTCCTCCTGCTTCTTCTTCTTCTTTCTCCTTCTCCTTCTTCCTTCTTCTCTTTCTTCTCCTTCTCCTTCTCCTTCTTCTTCCTCCTCCTCCTCGTTCCTCCTCCTCCTCCTCCTCCTCCTCCTCCTCCTGCCTCCTCCTCCTCCTCCTTCTCCTTCCCTTCCTCACCTCCACTCCTCCACATTTCTCTGCCTTGCCTTGGTGCCACTTGAAATAACCTTTATATTTGTTTGCCGCGCTCATAATAACCGACCAGCTGCCATAAGGTTTAATAGGCCTGCTCGTGTGTAGTCGTTGCCTGTCCTGTCCTGCCGTCGCGCGTGTGTGCAATGTGGGCGGAATTCGTTTTAATCAATGGGAATGTATTCGCGTTTTTTAACACTGGGATGTATTAACTTTTAAACTGTCTTTATTCGGTCCTTCGTAGTGTAAATACGTTAAATATCCGGATTTGGGGATTTGCGTGTGTGTATTTAGGGTTGGTGCTGAGATGGTGTGTGTTTGTGTTAGTGTTGGGTCGAGGTTTTGTATTTTTTGGTCATTGAGATACTGGGGGATTGTGCGTTTAAGGCCTTCATTTACACGGGGAATTATGGATTTTAAGTTGTTTAATACATAGTAGGTGTGGATTTACAATTATGTTTATACGGTAGTTGTGGATTTGCGTTTGAATTCGCACAGAAATGATGGATTTGCATATATATTTACGCTGGGATTGTGTATGTAAACCTGGATTATTGTTGATATTTAGGGTAATAAATCAAGGTTTTTATTTTCCTGTTTATACAGGGTATTTATCGTATCAGGATTATGGAATGTTTTAAAGAAATTTTGGGGCTAAAAGGTTGATTGATTTATATCCTTGTTTAACTATTTATTTGTTTAGATATATGAGTGTGTGTGTGTGTGTGCGTGTGTGTGCATGTGTGTGTGTGTGTGTGTGTGTGTGTGTGTGTGTGTGTGTGTGTGTGTGTGTGTGTGTGTGTGTGTGTGTGTGTGTGTGTGTGTGTGTGCCTATGTGTGTATGTATATATATTTATTTATTGATTGATTTATTCATGGCAGGACATATCACACAATCATTAAACTAACATCCGCATCAGAGTAAATGTATTTATTCATTTATTGATGTTTAGCTATGCTTATTAACATTATTATCACCTCTATATATTTTTTCTTTGGAGGCTAGGATAAAATTTATACTCTCGAAACTCTTGCCTGAATTCTATTTAATCCTAAATAAGGGAAAAAATAGCGGAGGTGGCAGAGCGATAAAGTTAAGGGTATAGGTCAGTGGTTCTCAGCCTTGGAAACGGGGCATTCCTGTGTAAAACTCCCTTGTCGGGCCGTGCGCGTGCGAAGGAAAAGGGAGGGAGAAAGATGAAGAAGAAATAAGATAGGTAGAAGGAATGGGGGGGGGGGAGTTTTTTTTGTGTGTGTGTGTGTATGTGCGCGTGTATCCATGCTAGTAGAACAAAGAAGGGAGGTACAGGCAAACATACGACTATGCCGAAGACCTTTTCGCATTTATTCCTTCATCAGGCCATCAGCAGTAAAAGCGAAAAGGCCTTCGGGATATTCGTGTTCTCCTGTAGCTCCCTTCTTTGTTTAACTTTGTTTAATTTGTTCGACATGAATTCCACACCTGTATGTGTGTGTATATGTATATGTATATTATATGTATATTATATGTATATTATATGTATATTATATGTATTATATACACACACACATATAAAGAAGGTAAGAAGCAGATATAGTAAGAAGGAGACATGGAATAAATAAATGATGGAAGGAGGTAGGAAGAAGAAAGAGAAAGAGAAGAAAAGGGAAGAAGAGAAAGAGGGAGATGATCGCAGGAGGATGGAAAGAAAAGAAAAGAAAAAATAGAATGGGGGAAAGAGAGATAAGAAATAACAACAGTACAATAGAAAGCAAAAGAAAGGGGAGTAGAAAGAGATGTGGGAAGAAAATACTGTAGGAAAGAGGAGATGACAGAGAATTAAAGGAGAGAATTATGAGAAGAAAGGAGACAAAGAAGAGGACAGAGCACAGAAAAGAATGAAAAAGAGAGAGAGAAAAAAGAGAATGTAATAAAAAAGACAGAAATACAGAAAGGATACGTTTCTAATATTAGAAATTATGATAGAACGCTACAATTTACATAAACAGAGAAACGGAGAAAGGCAGAGAGAGAGAGAGGAGAGAGGAGAGAGAGAATCAATAAATAATAAAGAAAGAGAAAGGAGAGAGAGAGAGAGAGACAAGAAAGTGAAAGAAAGAAGAAAGAGAGAGAGGGAGAGACAGACAGACCAAGACAAAGACAGACCAAGACACAAGGCACAGAGACTCAAGACCAAGACCCAAGCCCCAGACCCAAGACCCAAGACCTCGAGACCACGAGACACGAGAACCCAAGACCACCAGACCCAGACCCAAACCCAAGACCCAAACCAAGACTCGAGACACGAGAACAACACGAGACACGAACACAAGACCCAGACCCAAGACCCAAGACTCGAGACACGAGACAACTAGGACCCAAGACCCCCCCCCCCCCCAAGACCCAAGACTCGGAGACACGATACACGAGACCCAAGACCCCAGACCCTAGACCCGCGACTCGAGACCCGAGACACGAGACCCAAGACCCAAGACCAAGACTCGAGACACGGACCAAACACGAGACCAGACACAAGACCCAAGACCCGAGACCGAGACTCGAGACACGAGACCCAGACCCAAGACCCAAACCCAAGACACAGACCCAAGACCCAAGACCCCAAGACACAAGACACAAGACACAAGACACAAGACACAAGACAACCAGAACACAAGACCCAAGACACAACCACAAGAGAGAATAGAGTGAAGAAAGAAGAAAGAGAAACAAAAAACGGACACATGAGCGCGCCGCACGAGAGCAGCAGACAAAGGAAGCTGGCCGGGCGCAGGGGCCTCGGCGGGCGGGGGAGTGGCGGTAAAGACAAGCGAAGTGTAAATGGCTTTAGCGTGATTGCAGTGCGTAAGGGAGGCGGGGGGGCGGCCGTGGGTGGGTGATGGTTTGTGTTTTGATTGCCGTCGTGGTCATCAGGGGGGGGGGTGGGGGGTCTTGTCATTGTCATTGCCATCGTCATGGTCCTTTTTCATCGCCATTTCCATTGTCATTGGTTATTGTCATGGTCATCGTCATCAGATATCGTCATCGTCATCATCACCATCATCATCATTATTACCATCACCACCATCATCATATCTCATCATCATCACCATAATCATTACATCACCATAATCATCATCATCATCATTATCATCATCATTCATCATCATCATCATCATTACCACTCACCATCATCAGTTATCGTCATCTCATCTCATCATCATCATCAATCATCATTACCATCACCACCACCATCGTCCTCATCATCATCACCATCATCATCATCATCATCATCATCATCATTCACATCATTACCATCACCACCAACCATCATCTCATCATTATCATCATCATTACATCACCATACCATAATCATCATCATCATCATCATCATCATCATCATCATCCTCATCATCCTCATCATTACATCATCATTACCGTCAACCATCATCCCCAAAAATCTGTCATCATCATCATCATCATCATCATCATCATTACCATCACCACTCCATCATCATCATCATCATTATCAACACCGTCGTCTTCATCATTTTCAATTATGCTTTTATTTCTTGCACCCGCATTGCAACAGAGATTGATAGAAGATAATGCCGAGAAAAAAAAAAAAAAGTGTAGAATTTTCAGAATAGGTTATTTGTTGAACCCGAGTCAGTCAGCGGTATGTTTATATTGTTTGTTTTGTGTTTGTTTATATTTGTGAATTGCGTTTTGTGTGTGCTTGTGTTTTGTGTGTTTGTTTGTGTGTTTATTGTGTGTGATTGTGGTTGTTTCTGTTTGTGTGTGTATTTGTTGTTTGTTTTGTTTGTGTGTAAATTTGTTTGTTTGTACGTTATTGTGTTTTGTTTTTAATGGTTTAAGTGTGGTGATTGTGGTTCGTTTTGTGTCTGTGTCCTCTTTGTTTTGTTATGTATATTTGTACTTTCTTTGTCTGTGTGTTTTGTTTGTTCCTGCGTTGGACGCATTTTTTGTGTTTGTTTGGTTTTTTATATGTGTGTTTTGTATAGTTGTATGTTTATTGTTTGTTTCTGTTCGGGACGTACGGTGGTTTATGGTAGTTGCTCATCCGTATTTACGTATATATAATATATACATTACAATTACAATGTATTCCCTCTCTTCCCCTATTAGGAAGACCCAGATGGGGAGACGCCTTAACACCGCTCTCTTTCTGTGTGTTTTTTTTCCGTGTTTTTTTTTTTTCCTTTTCTCTCTCTCTCTCTCCCTCTCTGCCTCTCTCTCTCTCTCTCTTCTCTCTCTTCTCTCTATCCCTCCTCATCTCTCTCTCTTCTCTCTCTCTCTCTCCTCTCTCTCTCTTTCATCCGTTGCATTTATTAATCATCATCGAGGAGAATTACAACGGGTTTAGGCACGAGGGGTGTTGGCGTGACTCAGCAGGATTGTAAAAGGTGTAACGGTGCCCGGCGGGAGATGCGTGTTAAGTCCTATATTCGGGCAGCGTGGGTCAGGCATGATGGCGTAGTATAGTAGGGTTTGAAAGTCTACTGGACGGGACGCCGCGTTTGAGTTATTTTTTTTTTTTGTGTGTGTGGGGGAAGGGGTGATGATTCGTTCCATGGGTGGAGGTTTTTGTTTTTGTTTGTTTGTTTGTTTGTTTTGTGTAGGGGGTGTGTTTTTGGTTCGGATTGTTTGGGCCGATGGACTTCTTTTATTTATTGTTAAATGATTACGTGTCAATATCACTTCGTTTTTTTTTCTTGTCTTGGTAAACACGACACACGAATGAAACTGCTCCCGACTTGTTATGTTCTGATGTTAACACGATTTTCTTTTTTCTAAAATTGAGGTGCAATAATCTATATGCAGAGTATTATTAATGAATTTAATGCAATAGGTGTGGTACTTATATGCTACTTAATCTCTGGTCTGTTGTCCCTTTGCACAATCTCCGCCCTTTTGTCCTGTGTCCTTGCCCCCGTTTTCCAGTCTTACTTCCCTGGTTCTTGTTCTTTCTCTTCGCCCTTTTATTCCCACCTGGTCCGCCCTTGTTTCCAGAGCGTTCCTGGTTCTTCTTCTCCCTGTTCCGCCCCTTTTGCAGATCCTTCCCGTTTCTGTTTTTGTGTTCCTCCCTCTTTTATTATTTAACTTTTCCGCCTTTTTCAGATCCTTCTCCGGTTCTTTTTCTTCTCCCGCTTTTATCCACCTGTTCCGCCCTTTTTCCAGATCTTTCCCTGGTTCTTGTCCCACCCCCTCCCTTTTTATCCACCTGTTCCGCCCTTTTTTCCCAGAGCGTTCCCTGGTTCTTTTCTTCCTCCCTGGTGCCGCCCCTTTTTTCAGTCTTCACCTGTTTTTTTTGTGGGTTCGTCCCCCTCCCCCCTTTTTTTCAAAATCCTTCCCCTGGTTCTTGTTCCTCCCCAAAAAAAAAAATCCCTTTTATTACCTTTTCCGCCCTTTATTCAGTTCCTTCCCTGGTTTCTTGTTCCTCCCTCTTTTATCCCACTGTTCTTGTTCTGCATTTTCCAGAGCGTTCCCTGGTTCTGGTGGGACACGCCTGGGTGCGACTGCCTGAGCTGGACACGGCGGAGGAGCAGAGCAAGGGCAACGAGGGCGAGCCGTCATCGTCAGCCACTACTCAGGCTTTTCTCGAGCCGGCTTGCCGAGGAGGACGTTGCTGTCATCACGCCCTAAATCTGCCAGTGAGGAGAGAGGAGGAGGGGATGGCGGTGGGTTTTGTTTGTGGTTGTTGTTGTTTGGGGTGTGGTTGGGGAGGGGTGGAGGGAGGAGGGTTTGTATTGTTGATGGTGATGGGTTGTGTTGGGATGTGTGTGTGGATTTTGTTTTGGGATAATTCTGGGATTGTGTGTGTTTGTGTTTGTGTGTGCGTGTGTGTGCGTTTTTGTTTGTGTTTGTATGTGTGTGTGTGTCTGTGTTTGTGTTTGTTTGTGTTTGTGTGTGTGTGTGTGATTGTTTATTTTTGTTAGCACTCTTATCTGTAGACATAAACAGACGAAATATTATTACACTTTTAAGAATATACTTATTTTTTTTCGCATCTGATTCTCTCTCTCACCTTATGACATTTTCGTGCATCTGCAACCCTTTGCTGTGCATAATTTCAACATTTCATGACCTCAAAGAAAAAAAAGTTAAGAGAAAAAAATAATAGAACCAAAAGAATGAGGACCAACAAGGTATGTGTTGTATTTTACGTAGCTTCGTGGAGCCATTAATTAATACAGGTATACTCCTTCCGCAGGTATAGTTGGTGCGGTGGCTTCTTTTCTGCGCGAGGGACCACCGGGTCGAAGTGCGCCTCCGTGACGCTTTCGCAGGGGCGCGAGAAGGAGTGTCGTCATGTCCTCTCGTTGGATCCCAATAAACAAGGTGAGGTGTTGATAGGCTTGGCGGTGATGAGGGGGGCGTGGGGTGTGTGAGGGGGAGTGGGGAGTGGGGAGGAGGGGACTTGTTGTAGTTTAGAAATGATTGGTCGTTTTCCTGAAGGTGTGTTGGGCGGGGTTGGGGAGGGTTTGGGTGGGGGTGTGATGGGGGGGGTTTGGGGGTGGAGGGGGGGGTAACAAAAAACTTGTTATAAAATAGCAAGTTCGGGTTTTTCTGCAGGGTTACTTCCTGTATGTAGTGGGATGTAGTTTTAGGTGGATTATAACTAGTCCGCATAATGTAAAAAATAAGTTAGTGGCTTTAAAAGAAATAGTCTTAGTGAATTCATGAATTTGATTTGTTAATGCAATGAAATTCCGTAATCATGAAATTCAGACATTAGATATTTTGAACAAAGTATCACTTATTGTCATATACGATACTTCGAACCTTTCATTCCTTTTTTTCAACACTTAGGTACTTGGGCTTCCTGAATGAGAACCGTCGTCTCAATGTGCTGTGACTCGCGCGAGAAGACACTGGCTGTTGTCTGTGAACTCGGAGACAGTAGGCAAGGATCCTTTCCTCAAAGGATTTCCTTGATTACATGGGGAAGCACGGCCCTGTCAGGACAGCCTACGGTTTCAACATGGTGTGTGGATGTGGGTTTGTTTGTTGATGGTTGTGAAATAGTGTCATGTTTTCTCTCCTCTCTCTCTCTCTCACGTCTCTCATCTCTCTCCTCTCGCCTTCTCGCTCCCTCTCTCCATCTCTCTCCTCTCTCTCAATCTCTCTCCTCTCTTTTCTTTCTCTCTCGTCGCTCTCTCTCCTCTCCTCTCTCTCTCTTCTCTCATCTCTCTCTCTCTCTCTCTATATATAGATATATAATCTATATCTATATATATATATAATCTTTATTTGTATGGTTATTGCACTTAAATACTGTAATAACACACTCTTAAGGTCATGTTCGCTTAATTTTCCTTTTGAAACAGAAATTGATACTCCTTAATAAGCAGGAGTTACCTCCTTTTCTCTCAGAATGGAAACCACTGAAGTTTGCAACTCCAGAATGTTTTATCCCTGAGAGCTAAAGAACGAGAAGAAAGACAAAAATCGGACTCGAGAACAAAAGACCAACGACAAAGGGACGGGGGAGAAGGCCCAAGAAGAAGGAAAGGCTACGCGAAAAGCCCAAGTACAAACCCCCGACCGAGGAAGAGAACCAAGAGATGCGCCGAAGTACGAGCGATCATCTGGAGTTCGTCAGTTCCTCGACAACGTCACCAGTTTCCCACCGGGCTTGAACTCCTTCGAGAGACGTCTGATTCCGCGAGATCTGCGAACGCT